AGGGAGGAAGGCTTGTTGCAGGCACTTGTCACTCCAGTCCTGGAGCTTTTACTCACCTGTGGCAGGGACAGAAAGTCACTTCCTGAGCCTGTGTCTCTTGTTCTCCCTTCTGCCATTGCAGCAAAGCACCCCAGTTGAAAAATGAGAGGGGGAAGAGAATGTATTATTTAAAGAGATACTGGACTCATTCATTAAATTATTATTTCAATCCTCCTCCAATGGAAAAGAATGAATGTTGTGTCACTCTGATTTTCAGGGCCTTGGCCATGGTTCTAGCTTGGGACCCTGTGCTTTGCTTAGATTTCCCTTCTGTCTCCATGAGAAGGAGGTAAGCAATGCATGCAGAGTTCCAGAGATCAAGGAGCGAGCCACAGCAGCCTCTGACTGGGCTGCCATCACAGCAGCACTCGTGCTTGGCAGGGTAACCACAAACACAGCGGGGACAGGGCCACACCAGCAGTGACATGGGGCTGCTCCCAGGTGGAACCAACACAGCCCCAGCGCTGGGATGATCGAAGTTTCTACCTCAGCAACTGGGCTGCCAGTCAGCTGTGCTTCTAGCAGGAATATTGAGGGGAAAGGGGATTTATTGCAGCCTTTAAAGCCCAAAGATGAAATGCAGAAGTGAATTAAAATTTCTGTGCTAATTGCTCCATCAAAGGCTGGAGTGCAGTATTTCTGCTGCATTTAAACAGCAAAGAATCATCTGCAATTTGCCAGTGCAAATGCAAACAAGAACTTCAAAGGGCAGTGGTATCTTTTTGTTTTTGTTTTTCCTTCTCCCTGGCTAGAATGTATTTTATAGCAAGCTTGTGTACGCTTTGTACTATTTTTTCCTGCCATGACAATTTAGGTTTTGTTTGCTTTTTTAAGGGAGGGAAAAAATCCCAACTCTTGCTTTAATGATCTTCACTATGGTGAACTTTAAAGTGGCTTACAGCAGGGGAGTGTGGCATTTTCTGTTTGCATCATCAGTCCTAGTGATTGTTCACAGAAGCCAGCTTTCATTTTCTAAGCAAAATCGGCTGCACTTGGATAAACCTGATTAAGGTGAGTAGAGTTTTATCTGATGTGCCTATTGCCACTCATTTCAGCGTAATGACTTTCTTTCCATTTACAGATGACATGCAGAACACAGAACAAAAAGCATGTGTCAGTTTATAATGCATTCTTCTTAAAGTTTAAGTGATCCTAATAGGCCATCAAACTACTAGAAAACAGCTTGGCATGTGGAATAAACTCCTGATCAGGCTGCTGAAGTTTGTGTTGCCATCCTTACACAGAAGTCTGCCATGAGAGGAGCTGCTTGCTGGGCTGATGTTATTGTGAAATCATCTTGCAACATCTTGCAAAAATTGCTGCTCTGATTGTAAATGAAATACTAACAAAAATTTGAGTGGTCTTGACTTTGCTTCCTGACTTCTGAGTGTTTAGGTCCTAGTGGCTTCTCTTGCTAGAGAGTATGAAACCTTGAGACATCTGAGATCCTGACAGAAAAATGCAATTCTGGCATTGCTCTGTGTTCCTTCCCAACAGAGAGAAGTGTTCCTTTCCCTCTCATTTCTGAGGGACAAGAGACAGTGAAGAGGAAGAACAGGTGAAATTACATTTGAAGAGGTGCAAATAGAAAAGTGACAGCCTTGGAGAAAACACGCTTCATTCAAATGGCTATTTGCAGAGCAGATCCTCTGCAAGATAACTCATGGCATGTGAAAAAGTCCTGTGCACAGAAAACAGCCTGTCACAGTAAAATAAAGGGCCCTGAAGCTGTGAAGTCTGGCATAGCTGTGAAAATAACTTTCACTTGGGAGGGGAGCCTGGGAACCCTGCAGCTCCTGATTATTTTCAAAGACAATGCCCATTCCCCAGCGAGGAACACGGAGGCTGCCGTAACTCCTGCAGATCTCCACCAAAACCTCAATTTAAAATACTATCAAAGATTAAAGGCTGCACTCTCTTTCAACTGCATTAATTATCAAGGCAGCATGCAGAGCTCTGTAAATGGCTCCTGTCTGTTAGCACAGCACCGAGTTTAAAGGTGAGGGTGATGGCAGACAGATGATGATGACGACAACATGTGATTTGCAGAGTTCTCTGGCACAGGGGAGAGGTGTCTTCTAATACTGGAAGCAATGTTAGGAAAAATCAGCCTGCCTTCCCTGCAGCAGGGGCTGGGAGGGAGGAGAGGGCAGCTGAGCTGCTGGGGAAGCAGGAGCACAGTGCTGAGTTCCCTTGCCTATTGCAGCCCGAAATTAAACGGTAATACTGCCAGGAGATGAAGACAAGGCAACACATTCCCAGACAAAAAAAAAAAAAAAATACCCTTTTCCCTACCCCTGACAAGAAAACCCCAACCCTGTTCCTGCTCTGTATAAGCACTGGCCACTGTGGCAGGCTTTATGCAGCTGCAGTCTTCTGCTTTAATTTGATTAATTTTATTGGGAAGAAGTTCCATCCATGGCAGAAGAAACCAGCCAACCCCTGTTAGGGCCCTCTCTCCCTGTTTCTTTACTACAGTTATAAAGTGATTTATAATTACTTTACAAAATAGGGTCACCACACATTTGAAGAGCACCTGAGAGTGCAGGTATGAAAGGAAAGCCCAGGGGTCTGGTGGATTGGCAATTATTCCAAGAGGTGGGAAGCTAAGCGAGGGATTAGACAGGGTGCCTCTGCCTGGGAGACACAGTGGCCTCAAGGAAGAGGCCACTTCCTGATAGAAAGCAAGCAGAAAGTATTGTACTCGTTCTTGCAGGGCTTGAAAATGGAGCACAGTGGTGGAGAAATTTCTTTCCTCCTCCCCACCCCAGGAGAGTCTGGCCAGGGAGGGGGTCCCTAACAGGCCCTGGGACCCTGGGGTGCAGGCCATGCTGGGACCCTGGGCAGCAGAGACCACCACAACAATGCCAGGAAATTGTCAGTCAAGTTTAATGCATCATAAAGAAGTAAAACTACATTGGCATATTTAAGACAAACACTTCTTTTTTTCTATGCACACTATCCACTGGACAGCCCCCTTTTCAAAATAACTACTTTTAACAGTTGAAGACAGTTTTGCAGAAATTCTTCACATATTCAACCTTCTACATTTTTCCTTTATTTTTTTTATTTGTCTGAGAAGGAAAAAAAATTATGAAACCTGAAAACATCTACATTGCAAGCCACTCAGAATGCATAATTGCATACATTAACCAATGTATAACAACTGTGTTTTACTTAGTTCACTCTATTCATCAATAAAAGAATATAAAAATCTTGTTCAATCGAGAGTTGTGTATTAAAATAGATTTGTATAGTACTGCACAGTTTCTCCCGGAGTTGTGAAAATGGTTGAAGGGACCATGTGCTTTCTGGGCAACAGAAAAAGCCAGTCCCTCATGTGTTCATTTTTTAAAATTAAAAACAAAAAAGGCTATTCGGCACCGTGTGATATGCTGATGTGAGAGACTAGCCTTGTGTCCTGCTCTGGTGGCTTTCCATAAGTACCTGTTGTGCTAATTGGTGGAGAACTCACAGGGACAGGGACAATGGCACAGGGAGTGTGAGCTGAGAAAAGCGGGGTGTCCATCAGCACCTTCCCAGGCAGCCGCAGGACACGGGGCTCTGGGGCCAGGCAGCACCTTGCAGAACCAGGAAGACAGCTAGAAAACAGTCAGGTGCACTGGGATTTTCTCAGGCTAATGCTTAACACTTCCCAAATATGCTAAACCCAGCAAAATGTTAAAGAGGAATCAAGTTTCCAAAAACAAAATCCTCCCAAACATTTTTAATTTTCCATGCCCTGTCCCTCCCCCAGAAGTCTTGTGTTTGAGTCTCCAGTTTGAGAAACAACCCCTTGAGGCAGTTTTTTTTTTTTTCCCTGTACCATTTCAGCAGATATTTCTACAAAAAACCCCAACCAACCCACCAACCAACCAACCAAAGAAAACAAAGCAACCAAAAAAAACCCACAACAAATGACAAAACAAAAAAACCCCCAAAAGCTCCAAAAAAACCCAAAACAACAAAAAAAAAATCAAAATCATTTTGCATATCTTTAAAAATGCAGTACAAAAAGGTTTTTTTTTTTTTTGGCATATTATCTGTACTGGCAAGAAACAAACCCCAGAATATTTATTTGCTTTTTTGTTTAAAAAAGAATCCAAAATGAACAAAAAGACAGAAAACCACAAAATAATCACTTTAAAAAATGAAACCCAAACTGTCAAAGATATCCACTGTTATGGTTGATGCTAAACCTTGCACAAAAACTCCATGAGAAAAATACACTGATAGCAAAATAAGTAAAAAGGACCTGCAAAAGGAGTTTTACAGTCGTATTTTTTAAATATTTTGGAACGCATATACAGATGCATCAGCATGAAAATACTTCAATATTTTACTAGAAATGCTAACTTCATACAGTTTCTTTATTTAAATATCTGCAATTCTCAAGTCTAATAATATGGAAAAAAAAGATCTTTTGTTTCCAAGGCTCTGTGAGTGTCTGTGATGCTGTTCAGGTCACAAAGACCCCATAGCCAGGTCACCTGAATCAATGGGGCCAAACTTGCTCCTCTGACATCCATGTCAAGTGCTAAGTAGCTCAGTTTCTGGTCATCTCACCGATTCCCCCCCACACGTAGCTTTCAGCCCAACTACTTCTCTAATGCCTCACTAACTCCTCTCCCCGTGGAACAGAAAGCCTCTCTGCCACCACAAAAGGCTATCCTGCTTCCTCTATCAGCCATGCTTTTCCAGTTCATCCTCAGTCATAAATACATTAAGGCCAACATAACAAAACAAAATGTCATAAGCACTGAAGGTCTTGGCAAATACAAAAGTGCAGCACAACCCGCTCTGTGGGAGTGTGCTGCCACAGTGACCTACAAACTGGGCTGCCTGGTCTGCAAGTCTCTAAGTGTATCAAAACTGAGATTGCTCCTTCTGTCCTTTGTTCCAGTTTCATCTCTGCTCTGCTCATGTGCATAAAGTTTCTCGTGGCCCGTTCCTCAGAGCTGTCAGTTGTTACCCTGTGATGGCTGCAGAGCTTTGTGCATGGCAGCAGAGGCAGCCGAGGGTTTGATCCAGGGGATGGATAGCAGGGAGGTGGTGGTGGTGGTAGTCATGGTAACCTGAATCATCTGCTCATTTTGTATCAGTCTAATGAGGGTTTTGAGACGTTCCAGGGATGACTGAGTCCCTTTCTGCTGGGCCATCAGGCTGGTTTTTAGCTCTAAGCATTTCTGTCAAATAAAGAGAAGGGGAGAGAGAAGGAAAGACTGAGAATACATTCAAAGTGGTGTCAAACATCTCTGCAAACATCCTTTGGTGCCTTGGGTGCACATTCTGCTCAAATGAAGTATGTTCTCCTTTGGGGAAAGCAAAACCACAGCTTAACAAATGGAGCAACCAGCAGTGCTGCACACATTTGCAGCAGCTGTCAGAGGGAACAATATTCTTCCCAGGCAAAATGCATCTGGAGGATGTTTCCAACTCCATCCTGTAGACAGCCTGGCAGGAACACCTTCTGCACTCCACAGAGATGCCTGGCACAGGAGTGCAAGAGCTGTGTTACTGAAAACACAGAAGGCACCACTCAGGTCTCTCACTCTTACCAAAGGACCCTGATAAATGTTTTGTGGGTGAACCTCACCAGGATGCATTTCATATGTGCCACACATTTCAGGGAATAGGCACTGTGAAGACACATTAATCTCACTGAACATGATGTCAATATTTTTCCAGCAGAAAACTTTGCTCCAAGACACAACTGTTATAACAGAGCACTCACAAGAAAGCTTTCATCCCTCAGGGTGGCCAAATCTCTCCCTGTGATCTCTTGAAATAAAAACCTCCATGCAAATGGGCACGAGAGCAGAAGCGAAACAAAGGCATCCCAAATCCTCCATTTCTCCAAGAAGAAGAGGTAGGAAGAATCAGTAATTCTCCTTTCCCTCCGCAACCATGGACTGCTGCATCCAGCACCTCATTCTTCAGTGAGGGACAGACGCACACCCTGAGTCTGCCTGCAAGATGAAAGGGGCCTCTAATACCTGAAACCTGTTTTCTTTCTCCCAGTGCACCCAGGATTCTGACCAGACTGATTACTTGTCTGCAGATTGCTTCTCTCTGGCTATGGTCCAGACTGCCCAGGGGTGGGATTCTCCAGTCCTGGGGAATTGGGAAATGGTCACTTGAAGATCAACTTGTCTGGAAAGCAACTGTGTGGAGCTGCTCAGACGTTGGTTTAGAGAGATGAAATTTCAGATGAAAGATAAATTAGTTTCTGTTTTTACCATTGCAGCTGTGGGATGTATGAGAGTGCTCTTTTTCATATAAATCTCTGTTAAAATGTCAGAATGAAATTGCTCTGTGTGGGACACCTTTAATTTATTTTCTTCTTTCAAGTGGATACATTTCCAATAAATATAATCATTGACTGATATTACCATTTAAATAAGACAGTGTTGTCCACTGGAAGACCCTGATTCTGCTTAGGTAGGAATCTTACTGATTTTGACAGCCATGACACACACCTGATAGTTGACAGCTTTTCTTTTTCCAAATTCCTCAGCCCACTGCACTCTCCTACCTATTACACACACATGTGGTTCCATTAGTGCTATACACATGCACAGGGAATATACAGTGATGTCTTTCAATAAGTTATTGCTTTTCCTTCCACTGTGTTTTACCTGATAAATATTTTAATATGTCTTCTCTGGATAACTGCAATGGTAAAACAAGCAGTGACCAGTTACTCCTGCAGCGGCCACTTGGATTTTTCCAGGGTAAGGAAGTGACAAATATTTATTGAGGCTGCCATGCAAACTAACAGCTGCTTCTCAGGACAGAGGTAGCCCCAGATAGCTCCTTCAGCCATAAAGGGTAGGAATTAGGCTTTGAATTCAGCCCATTCAGCCAGAGACTGCTCCTCATTGCACAATATGTGTGGAAGACACCTCCAGACAACATTTAGCTTTGAAATGAGTTTGGAGAGACAAAATAGTCCATGTGCAGTCATGGAGAGATGCTACAACATTCAGTAAAGATGGTTATTTCTACTTAATAACAAGAGGTTTGAGCTAATGGAGAGGCAGCTACCACCAGAGGACACACTTGTGACTAAACTTTTCACCTAGAGGATGGAAGTACCTTGAAGTCATTGGGTACCTCAGAGCTATGCATGCAACTACAAGGAAGACAACCATGGCTATTTGTGGAGTTTTGTGTGTGTTTTGCCACAGAAATTCAAGTGATTTCTCCTCCTCTGCCTGCCAGAGTGGCTTACTTTCGTGCATAAAGAAAATGCGCATGTACTTCCTCAGAGAGAAACACATTCACACTTGAAAATCTATTGCTTGGGAGCTTGAATAATTTTCTAGCCACAAAATACAATTTTTTTGGGCTTAAATTCTTTATAAACATCTCTTCAGGAGACTGTGTGTCCCCATCAGGTGTCCTACCTTCACTGCACTGTTGAGAAGTCGATCTTTTTCTTCTAACTGTCTATGCTCACTCTTCAGCTCACTGCTCCTCTTTAATAACTTTCGCTTCTCTTCTTCTTTGACTGTGGAACAATAAGATTAAGGATGCGGAGGTTAAGAACAAGGATGTGCTGTGCATTTGAGGACAGAAAGCAGAAGCAGGTATTTTGCATGGTGAGTTTAGGGTCTCATTACCCTTTTGTCAGCAGGTACAGCCAAAGAAATCTGGAGTTTCTGCTTGCAGGCATTTCTTCACTAAAAAAGTGATTGGGCATTGGAAGGGGCTGCCTAGGGAGGTGGTGGAGTCCTCATCCCTGGAGGTGTCCATGGAACAACTGTACATGGCACTCAGTGTTCTGGGCTGGTTGACAAGGTGGGATCACTTACAGGTTGGACTCAATGAACTTGGAGGTCTTTTCCAACCTAAATGGTTCTGGGATTCTATGCATGTGTCAATGGTTAGCACACAGGAGGACAACCCAAAAGATACAGTGCACCTTTAAGGTGAATTAAAATTAGGCTTCATATGATCCTGGAGGTCTCCAAGAAAGTAGCATTTAGGAAGAGGCCAGCCCCTTGGAATGGCAAGTTAGTGACCCTAGAAAAGCACAATTATAACTTTGGCAGACCTCCATAAAGGTCCTGACAAATATGATCTAATGCCCCAAACAGCCTATTGTAATAGTGCAACAGGGAATTAAAAAAGAATAATGCTCAATGCAGTACTGTCACACAGCATATGACTCAAGTGGCTGCCATACCACGTAACAGTGAAACCATGAGAAGCTGGTGCTGCTGTGGTGTCAGGGATTAGTCAGTGTGGCATTGTGTACACACCCAACTACGTGGCTCTGCTCAGCCTGACTCTGCCTCACAATGATTCTGCCTCAAAATCCTGTTTTCAGCACTGTTCCAGGGAAGGCACCGCTTTGATGACAGCTTCCTCCAGGAGAGTGAAGTTCCTGAGAGATCACTCTCAGCTTCCTTATGGAGAGAAGATGGCAAAGGAGCAGACCAAGGGGAAGGGGACAGAAAAAGTCTGCCCTCCCCAGTCACTTATGGCCCTATGACCTACACCATCAAACCTGGCAGCATTGTAACACTACTTTGATATTTCAGCTAGGGACTCAAATAGCATTGCTATCATGAGCAGGGAACCCCTTGTCAGTGGCTGAGTTAATCCCTACCTGTTTTATGGGTAACATAGGAGTGAACAATAGCCAGAGTTCCAGTCCATGGCACACTGTCATCTTTCTTTAAAACCTATAAGCCAGGAAACAATAAATGGTTAGGATTCAAAAAAAAAAAACCCACGCATTAATGTTTGCTCCAGCCTTACAGTTTGGCAGGACCAGAACTTGGGTCCTTGTCTCAGAACATAAAAGTGATCTCAAGGCTAAGCACAAGGAACTCTGTGGCACAGAATCTACACTTGAGTGTTTTAATAATTTTTTTTCTTACTTGTGCAATCAGCATTATTCACAGCAACGAGACAGTTTAGCATATCTCACATAACTGTGATGAACAGTTGTGTGTAACAAATGTGATTTAAAGAAAAGGAAGTTTTCTCCTCACACCTTTCAGATCCACTGGTGAACAGTGTCTTCTTCTGACACTGCCTCCCTCATCTCTAAGATTTACATTCTTTTGTCTGGCTACATGCTGGTGGTGTTACTGTAAACAAAGGAGCTGAAGAGACATCTTAAGGGGACAATTCTTAGCAATTACAGGCAAGCTACAGCACTCCCTGTGTGTTCTAACTCTAGGATGCTGAAAAATACCAAAAATAAATACTGCAAACTGCACTAAAAGCCTCTCAGTACTTCTTTATCTAATGTAGTCCACTGAGCTACGACCATAGGTTAGATTTGTTTAGGGGTACACAAATCCAAGGTGTCTCCCATTTTCCCTTCTTGGTACACCATGCTCCATGTAGCTTACCTTCTGTTGGCACTTTGGGCAGACCCAGAGCCCTTTGGGGGCAGTTTTGAGGGGTGGGTCCAAGCAGTTGAGGTGATATGCTCTGGGACATGTGCCACAGGGCTGCAAGTTAGCTCCACGCTTGCAAGCAGTGCAGTGTTCATCGTGATGGATCTCGTTCTGCAAGAGAAGGGTGCCCTGGGTAAAGTCAATCCATTGAGAACTTCTCTCTACACAGCATTCAAAGCCTCTACTGCAGCAGACAGGCTCCTTCAAACACGAAATCTAATTGTCAAAAGGACCCTGACAGACACAGAAGACAGAAATAATAGATATATGATAGCAAGAAATACAAACAACAAATGACCCAGAAGCAAGTTACATAAATTGAAACAGAAACATAAAACCCAACTAATCAAACACAGGAGAGAGTCGACTAATGTAGCCAGATTGTGATATAGGAATTATTTCACTTTTTTTCTTTGCCAGTGTGTTACTACAACACATGTATCCCCATGCATGGCTCTGTCCTGGATGAGAGTTAGTGTGGGGATCACTTGTCTGTCACACCCAGAGCAGAAGGAAGAAAACAAGAAAAGGGTTCTGGGGAAGAAGCACAGTTCCATGTTTCATTCCCACTGCCTCAAAGGCAGCTGGGGAAAGGGGAGGCTGGAGCACAGCCTTGGGCTATAAACCCTCTTTTGTGAACTCCTCTGGCCTCTTTCTCCCTGGCACTAATTGTTCTCTGCTCAGACTTGCTTTGACAATCTTTCTCCAACAAGACTGATTAGTGCTTTGTCCAAAGCAACACACAACATGAACTCAGACTCATCAACAAAGTTACAATGTCATGTAGTACTTTGCTATGTTAATCCGGTGGCAACATTAATTACTCTTTTTAATAAAGGAGACAGTGATTCTGAAGCTCTCATGCCTTGTGAATCATTACAAAAAATAAAAAATTTCCTACTGCTTTTCTAGGAAGTAGAATAGTAATTTTATGGGTTTTAATTCCAAAAGCATGTTTTCATTTTTTTGAATAGTAATTAAAAAGTTTCATGGCAGTTTTAGTCAGGGTTATATCTTGAATTCTAAAGCAGTCCTGCCAAAAAAATCACTCTCCAAAATATTACTCTTTATAAACTACCTGCTCAAAGAATCTTAATTTTAACCCCAATGTAAGGAGATTTAATCTTTATGAACTAGAATGGTTACTCATTTTTCTTATAAAATTTTCATTAAACTCATAAATCTGGACTATCAATTTCTCAATCAGTGGAGTCAACAAAGGGACTAAACTCAAGCCTTGCATGTGAAAGCCCAAGAGTTCATCTCCTTAAAATCCTAGCTTAGGCACTCAAAGCTTTAGTTAAGTGGGAGAAGTGAACACTGCAATTAGGTACCTTGAGAGACACTACAATAATCAGAAGCAAGCACTGGATACACAGTGATGAGAGAGATACCTGCTATTACACAAACTTTGCCACACATACCTTCCAGAACGAATCCTCATTTGCTAGCATGTAAAAGAAGGGCAGAAAACAGATCAGTGGAAAATACATTGCTGCAGCGGTTGCTACTTCTGAGCTGGGGGAGTAATTTTAATCAAGATGTGGCATGGGAGATCAGGACATGGTCAAAATTAATGCAGGCAGTAAAGAATGTAACAGCAAGCAGTGGAATTAGCATTTGAGATTTAAAAATGTACATTGCAGGTATCCCATGTCCAAAGGTCTGATGCTAAAAGGTCATAGTATTTGAAATTATCAGAAATTTTCATTTGCCAGTGGTCAGAAGGTCTTCCTGAAGGACCACAGCATGCTGGGTGTTGAAAAGGCTGGCCCTGAACCAGCAATGCACTTAATGTGGAATATGAAATGGGTGCCTCCAACTAATTGTTAAACACAGATTTAAATGTTGAGCTAATTCCTGGACAAAATGGCCAGCTCCTGTAGGAGTGAGCCTGAGGGTATCACCACATCCCTCTCATCAGACTGCTCCCACCCAGAACACCTTGGGATGAACTGAGTCTGTACCGATTGTATTCACAACCTGATATGAACAAGAACCAATAGAGCTCACTGGAAAGCAGGCCAGGCCTTCCATGAAAAAAAAAAAAAATAAAATTGTGGAATTCAACACAATTTGGTCCAAAAAAAAAAGCCAGAAAAAGTTAAGAGCTTTATGGAAACTGCACAGTGTGCTGCAATTTCTGCTGCTGATTTCATACAATCACAGAATATCCTAAGCTGGAAGGTACCATCAGGATCATTGAGTCCAACCTCTGGCCCTGCACAGACACCCCAACAATCCCATCCTCTGCCTGAGAGCGTTGTCCAAAGTCTCCTGGAGCTCTGGCAGCCTTGGGGCTGTGACCAGACCCTGGGGAACCTGTTCAGTGTCCCACCACCCTCTGGGGGAAGAACCTTTTCCTGATGTCCAGCCTAATATGCCCCTGGCACAGATCCAGCTATTCACTGGGGATCTTGCAAGAGGCTGGAGCACACTGTCCCAGTGAAAAACGCTTAATGGACAGGGATTTCTTTGGATTAAAGTGGAGACAACCAAAGTGATATTTCTGTCCTGTTCTCCTTCAGCTCCCTCTCTGATCAGAGTGGGAATATAGCTGTCCTACTGTGATCCCTCCTATCAGACCCACCTGGAAGCCCCTCCCTCCGCTGCACACTGGTTTTACACACTGATGTGTGCATACACGTGAAGATGTACACGTGGGCAGGCCTCACACACATGTAGAAGAGGAACTGAGATTATAGAAACACCTTCACCTAACTTGGTGAAGGTGTTTCTATATTCTATATTCTATATGCCGCTCCTGCAGAGTGCCAGAACAGGACAAACACTGAGAAAATGCAGAAGCATCCTTCCCATGCTGGCAGTTTATGGGCTTCCCTAACACTGAGCTTGCATCTTCATTTTTATATTTAACAGCCTTTGATAGATTTTTTTCTTCCATAAATTTCTCTACTTTTCCCAAGAATTCTAGTATACTTTGGCAATGAGGTCTGTAAATAATCACAGCCTTATAAAATGTGTAGATGTTACTTCACATCCAAAAATACACACACAAAGGTCCACCACTGTATGACACCATGATTACTCAGGGGATATAAATGTTATTCAGATAAACAGAGGCTTGATAATTGATGAATCTTTTGTACAAATGATACATGTCAGGGGATGTGACCTCATTTCAGAAAAGACATTTTCATTTAAATCAATCCTGATCAATTAACATTTTGATCAAAATTTACAAGAATTGTCCTCTTCTGCATATCCAGAAATGACAGTTGCTTCCTGGACATCATGGGGATTTTTTTCTAGTTTGTTTGTTTGTCTTTTCACTTTTGCTACTAAGTTTTAAACTTCTTAAAACACATCCACTTCCCTCTTCTAGCTGCTGAAAAATTAAACTGAAGACAATACTTTTAAAGGAGCACTTTATAAGAGAAGGGCAGCCATCTCTGCACTGAAGCTGGAGAACTGCATCACAGCAGAGCCAAGCAGTGTGGGACAGCCCCTGCCTTCTGCTCAGTGCTTGCACAGCATCCAGCAAAACAGTGCTGGTGCCAAAAATATCCTTGGGGAGTTCTGCTATAAAGAAGTCCATCTCAACATTCTCAGAATATGTGGAACTCCAGCAGGTATCCTGGATTCTGGAAAAACCAAAGATACAGGACTCAAAGAGGAATTAATGATAAAGAAGAGAGGTTGCTGATTTCCAGGAAGCTCCAAGACAGCTGCAACAGCAGATGTCTGTCACTTGCCTACTTCCTTGCAAATAAAATAAGAAACATGTAATGAAAGGGAGGTCTGAGATATCAAAACCTAACTTAAACCCACCAAGGGGCTGGAGGCACAACCTGCTAACAATACCATTCTGTCCTGATTTCTCACATGTGTTCACATGGGAAAACAAGTGCTATGATAAGACAAACAATCTATTACGATTTTAATTTTGAATATAAAACTAAGCCAGGAATAATATTCTTTCCAATGGGGCTCACATGAACCTGGCTTCCTGCTAAGAGGCATGTCATCATAGTTGCTTACTGTAATAACCTCTCCTCTCCTCTGAGACCAAATGCATTAGAGGTAAGTAAAGTAATGCATATGGTAAGCAAGCCAAGTGTCTGTATCTGGCATGTGGAATTTTGAAGGCAGAGGGAAGCACTGCTGCCTTTCAGTTGGTGCTCCTGTGGTGCAGGAAGTCAAGGCAGAGGCAGAAAGGTGAATCTCAAGCACTGAACATGACACTTAACAGTGAGATCAAGCGAACACTGAAAAACTGTCAAAATTTCATGTCTCAATTATAATTACCCCTGCAAATGCTCCTAATACCGAAATAATATTTAACTTAGAAAAATGTCTCTCTTCCCTTTACTTCTAATAATCTCAGTAGAGAAAAAGCTCTAAAGGCAAAACAAGGGCAAGGACAGAATCAAATTTCTTTACTGGCTTTGTCTCCTCTTCTGAAACTCAAATTTCTCACTTTCTTTCTTAAAGTAGTACATGGGTCTTGTCTGAAGAATTAAACTATACTCAACATTCTCTGTGTTTCACCTCATATTTCCCAACTCTTTGTCTTCTCTGTGTTGCACATTTTTTCCTGAAATGTGCTTCTTCCCATGAGCTAATCATCAGCATCCCCAAATGGCTCCTCTGAGATGTTAATTCTCAAGGCATTTACTATTAAGTTCCAATATGAAGTTCTTATAAGCACAAGACTGGAAGGCATCTGGAAGGTAATCAGGTCTAGATTTATGACTCTACCTCTTGGAATCAGAAAAACTGTCTTTCAACCCTTGTTATTGAAGCAGAAGTTGTGGGAAATTTCTGGTGCTTGAGGATGGAGAGCAGTTTCTTAAAGCGCATGGAAAGACGCACATGAAAAGCCTAAATAGTAATTATTTTTTAATATATATTTTTAAGTACTTGGGGTTGGCAAAACTACTTTCTTCAATCAGTTCTCTCACTGCTTAAAGTGCCTGTCTTAGGTTGCAAGATGTGACTGGGGGTGTGTATTCTATTGCCATCTGTTAGAGGTGGGGTAATTATCTTCTGTTAATTGGGCCAACAACTAAAACCAGGTGGGGCAGTTTTCTTTGTCTTTTCCACAACCAATCCTCCCTCCAAGAAATATCATCTGTTAATGGGCCAGTGAGTGTCACTGCATAACTAATAAAAATTACATCAGCCCATTGTGAGATGCTTTGCCTAGGGGAAGGAGCGAAGCATTACTACCTGGATATAATCTGAGATTTAGAATACCACAATCAACTTTTTCCACTGGATTCCTAGAGGAGCAGCTTTCTTTTCCACTAGATTCCCAGAAGACCAGGCCCATCTACGCCACCACAGGACCTTCAGAGGAAAACTCCACCCTTCTACAGGATCACTGCCCAACAGAACCACAGCTGGCACTGCAGGAGGGCTGCAGCCACCATTTAATGGGACTGCTGCCAACACCCTGACCCGCAGGGTGTCAGGGCCTATTCTGACTCTGGCAGTGTTGTTTTGTATTACTGCATTTCCATTTTTTTTCCCTAATAAAGAACTGTTATTCCTACTGCCATATCTTTGCCTGAGAGCTCCCTTAATTTCAACATTATAATATTTCAGAGGGAGGGGGCTTACATTCTCCATTTCAAGGGAGGCTTCTGCCTTCCTTAACAGACACCTGTCTTTTCAAACCAAAACAGTGCCAGAGATCAGATTTTCCACTGATTGCACAGGCTTTGGATCCATCTCTACAAAATTTGGATCCATCTCTACAAAATGACCTTTAGCCTTATCCTTCCATTGGTTTTGCAGGAAAACAATCTATTTTCATTCCATATTAAAAAATACAGGGACATTACACAAAGTAATGCCCTGTGGTATCCTAACAGTAACTCACATGAAATCCTACTAATAAATCTTTAACACATCATTAGAAGAGTAGTATATTCATTTAAAAATATGCTTACCTCTCGTTGAAAGGAACAAGGGGTTATTCAAATAATTCGATGCAAGGCGTTTCCGCTACAAGGGAAAAGAAACCAACCCCCATGTCACTGCGGTGCTCTGGTTGTCTCTTACATTTCAGATTATCAGTCTCCATGGGCTTACCTCATAACTAACCAGCTCTCCAAAAGCTACTTAGAGACCACTGACACAGTCAGACAAACAGTTGCATGATTTACCTTTCTAACAAGTTTTTTTTTGTTGTTGTGTATTAGATTTTACTAAGAAGAGAGAAATACAAATTGTGAATGTTATTGATGGGATTGCAGGACACATTGCATGGGCTGGTAAGAGCAAGACTACAGCAAAACTAATTCCAAGCCCAACAATGTCCATAAGGGAAAATTGTTGCTGTGAAATGACATTTTTATTTGCATATATAGAAATGGTGATGGATTTCTCACCTGCAGGAAAACCACTACTACCTTTGTGATACCTGCCTACAGCTCAGAGGAACATACTACATTTGCAAGCAACAACTGAGGGCCTTAGCAAAGTATTTCCCTTTCAGAAATGACTGTGCAGGACCTTGAGGAGCTGGCAGGGATTTCAGTCTGCTGAGATCACCAAACTTACAAACAGAGAGCACTGCTACTATGTGAGATGTTTAACTCATCTAACACAGCCCATGGCCAGCCTTGTCTGATGGCACAAGCTGTGGTCAATAATAGTCTGGACAACCCCGAATTGTTCCTCTGAGCCACCCAATACTTGTACAGCAGGACTGGAAACAGCACAATTTTCCTCCATTAGATGTTGTTAGATTCAGCTTGGAAGAAAATTAGAGGGGTTTTGCTACTAAATTTTTTATTCTGTGGTGAAAAAACTATTATTTTATAGACAGATGCCTGCCAGTCTGTTAATGAATTTTGAATAGATGTTTCTTTCTTCAAAAAATAACCAGCCCAAAATGTAACACTTTCCTATGAAAAAAAAGGCTACTGAGGGCATGAAAATAAAATGATATCTCATTTTTTTTAAAGAACAAAGCTTTGAGAAGAAAAAGCACACCATTCAAGTGAAGACATAAGACCATGATCATATTTTTGCAGTCAAAGTTACTACCACCACTACAAATGCTGAACTCCTGCCATTTTGAGGGGTGTTGGCAAATAAAAGGTCTAATTTATATGCAATTTCAATTTAAACAATCATGAATTAAAGATCATTCAGTATACTAAATTAAACTGCACCAAAATGCCTGACATGCCACCAGTACCTCAACTCCCTGATTAGCAAAGCAGTCTGAGCAGCTAATTGATTAGAGAAAAAACATCTGCCTCCATTTTACTTGGATGACATTCCCCGTGGTCAGTACTTAATGACAGCTCCTAATGAGGACACAGCTGATCAGCCACAGGAGTCTTTCACAGACATTTCTTTCTCTTTGCCATCCTTCATTCAAGCATATGCTTTTGAGAATAGATATGATGAGAAATATATGATGAGCTAGGGGTGCAGTAGTCATCTTCTCTTCCACCTCTCCAAGGTAATAGAGTTTGTTACAAACACCAATCTCACTACAGCCACAAAACTCTGCTGCAAGTATTTTAATAATCAGGACAAAAATGTCTAAAGAGCTACAGATTTAATGCTAGCAAGGCTAAAGTTCTACTGTGTTAAATACTGCACATATGGACATCAGTATTTGCACTGAAAAAAGAATAGTTGAGGAATTCTGAAGAACTCAAGTGCCCAGAGCTGCTCTGGAGAATACAAATCTCCAGTGCTTTCAAAAAAAGAGCAATCAAGCAACTCAGCAGTTTGACTGCAGCAGTTTCTTCTTAGCCTCATCTGTTTGCTATCTGCCAACGAAGACAGAAATCTGAAATACTGGCATACCAGAAATTCTGCATCACTTATGCCTAAATAAAGAACAATCACTTTCTTTAGTCTTAGAGAGCTTCAAACACACTCAGAGAAGCCTTGCTTAAATGGAGAGCTGGCTGCAATTGAGTTTCTTCCCAGTAAAAAGTTCAGACAGTAAACCCAAACTGTGCTGAAATTTTAAATGTGAAATTTTAATTGGCTGAATAAATGCATATTTGTTAGTTTAGAAACAAAGAAAAAAAATCCAGAAAAAGTTAAGCCTTTTTATATGCTGCTTTTACACCAAATTTGCAATCCAATATTATGCAGGACCAAATTGTGATACTACTATAAATGCAACAGTGTAAGTGTAACAGACAACAGAGATTATCTAGAGCATTTTATTTTAATAATGCATTATTATATTTATTATGCAGATTTCTATACCCTCTGCAGACCACACTGATTCTTAAACCAACACACCCCTTTTATGAATGTCAAAAACTTTAAAAAGCAAAGATTATTATTGTTATTTATAATTTGGCACATAAAAAAGAGAATTTATTATTTGGCACATAAGAAAAGAGAAATAGCAATGCACATTTGAACATAATGCAGCACTTCTGTTCTCTAATTATGATCTAAAGGGATTGCCTTTGTAGATAAAAGAGTAATTAGGTGCCACATTAATTTAGTTCTCCTGGACTTAATCAAAACTAAGATGAATTCTAGTTTGGAGCAAGTGATGTTGTGTGGTGATAACCTGTTGCTTGGGCACTGAGATATTTTCTTTCTTTTCTACATCAGGATCTCTTTACAAGTAGCTGTGCTTCTGCATTCATATATATTTTTGTAGTAAAAAACACTTAGACCTTTTATTGATATGAAATAGAACTGTGGTAAAAAAGTGAACGATAAAGTACCTCTGTTTCCAAGAGTCCACTGTAGGCTGGATTTGCTGTGCTTCTTCTCTTTCTTTCCTGACGCTTGCTCTGGATTTCTGTAACCATGGAAAGGAACATGAACTGTGTATTTCTCATTCATCAGGGAAAAATGTAGATATAACTTGTTATGTAAGATGATTTTACCCTCAGCCCCTTGAGCTTTGTGTTCCGTTTTAGTTTCTAGAGTATAATTGGGTTGCATCAGCATTGATTTTTGCTGCAGTTCAAGGTTTGACATTAATAAGCTTTTCCTTGTGAGATTCACAGGCATTTTTTATTTTTTTCTTCCTTCAAAGTAGACTTCTGCTGCCCTACAAGAATTTTATTATGATCTCTTCAGACACATATTCAGCAAGCATCATCAGAGAGCCTTCAAAGTACTCTCCATGGAGGCTAGAAAAAGCATCATTGAAATGGCACAGCTGGATTCAGTTCTAACCAGGGTGTGATGATTTATCCACCCAGAATACAACTTCATAATCCTGAGCTTGCAAAATGTCATTATGAGTCATATGTGGATGTGTGTGTCACTGCAAACACCAGCACACAGATGGGCTCTTTGGACTGCAGCCCATTTCTCCCTTCCACTAAATGGTGACACCAGTTGAAGATGACACATGCTGAGGACTGTTTTAGCAACCACCAGCCATGTGCACAACTCTATAAACACAGAGAGATGGAGCAGATTACTTGGCCACAGAAATCTGTAGGTTTAAGGCTACTTTGATCTGAGCCAGGATTCCATTTATATCACATGGAATTTCTTTCTCCAGCTCTTGACGTCAGTTCAGAATGCTGAGATTATTACAAGCATGTCTTTTAGAGCCCGTTATTTTGATTATAAACCCCAGACACACTTTAGCAAGGAGAGGCACAGCATCCATCCCATGAAGTGTGTGCTCTATTCCAAAATATTTCCTGTGTGAATATTGTAAGGTAAAGTTTAGACTTTGTGCTGAAGTACCAGAGGGTAGTCTAAATGCCCCCATGGTGGTGATACGTCTGTTCTGTCTTGCTCTGTCTCAGAAGGAGAGGAACTGGCAGGAGCATGTTCTTCAGCCCAGAGGCCCTAGAGCCCACCCAACAGAAACTCAGGACACCATCTGATTATGCAGGAGTCTTTCCTCTTTCCTGGTGTCTTTCCTCAACATCTGAGCTGAAGAGGTCTATCTCAGAACACACTCAGCACCAGAAAATGGCCTTCAGGGTATTGAGCAAGATCTCCCACCTGTAATCCAACAGTAAGATACAGCTGAGCTTTCAGGGTGTTTATACACTTGGGAACTGGATCCCCAGCTTAGTTCTGGTTTCCAACACCCTTTTCAAGAGCTGATCATTCCCCTATACTATTTTAAGCATTGCTACAGTACAGGGTACCAGTATTTTTGGTCATGTCTTGGACATGGTGTCCCTGGAGATGAGGCCAACACTTTATATGGGTTTTGTACTGGCCTAACTTCCAAGATATGGATTTAAAACTTTGCCTTCACGAAAGAGTATCGGCTAAGCCGCTGTGCTTGGAGTGATGGATGCATCAGAAGGAAACTAGATGGACAAGAAAAACAGAAGAGTAACTACTAGCTGGGTTTTTCTATGGTACAGGGACACGTCACCTCTCATGTTCAGAAGGTGTCTTCCCCTTGGGCACTTCAAATAGCACCGTCACATGCTGCTATGTGACTCAAGGGGCTGCACAGGATCTCACCACCAAGAAATGTGTGATCTGAAGCTGCACAAGGATGTGAGATAAGTGTTTTGGCTGTAACCACTGTAACATCACATTAACATCATTCACACTATGCAGACTCCAAAACACAGGATCTTGTTTGGGAAACAGTTTTGTCCTACTGTGAAAATATTTCCTATTAAATGCTCATGTGTCTGTGCTGAAATATCCACCCTGAACCTCCCAGGCTCTTTGAAATCATCTAAAGGGAGTCGTGCCTCAGCAGCAGGGTGAGTGCTACGTGCAGATCCAGTTGCCTCTCAAAGCCACAAAAGAGCAATGTTGTTCTTGATGTCAGTGTCAGCTCTTCTAAGGGAAATGCTCTCAAGGCCCAAAGGTAACAGAGATGTCACAAGTGAGGAGCCTTGGTGCAGCAATAAAACAGGAAGCGGCCCTCATCTCACTCTTTTCTTTGGTCTCAGCAGTGTGAGCTGGAGCTGTGGCTCTTGCAGCCAGGCTCAGGACCCTTACCAATGAATTCAGGGCTTGCAGCATCTCAGCACCGCCATGGCAGTGCAGAGAAAAAACTGGAGTTAGGGCAGGCCTGGTCTTCCAGAAGTGGTCTCAGGGATACAATATTGGGACTTTCAATGGCCCAGAAAAAAGAAACAAAGAATTCAATGCAGCAGAGTTTTCTTTGTATGTAACTGGGCCAAGCATCTCATAAAAGGACAGTGATAGATCTGTTGCTCTCTGTCCTTCTTGGTCCCAAGTTAAAGAGAAAATTTCTTTGGTACATGTTCTCACCAAGGCAACAGAAAACATTTGGTGGGAGTCTGAATCACACATATGGCAGATACTTGGAATGCAGCTTTGGAAGAGGCATTGCTATGGTACAGAGATAAGAGATGGCTGGGATGAAAAGTAATAGCAGTGGGAATACATGGAAAAGAGGAGAGAGAGAGAGAATAATGAATGGAAAATCTCGAGATGTACAATAGCCTATGCAGCCGTCAGGGGGGAGAGCACTTTCTTGGAAACAAAGTACCAATTTTCACTTTCGTGTAAACAAAAATATCATGCATCTATGCACATGTGGAGTGGTTCTGTCAAGAATTACACCCAGACAGAGCAAAAGCATACACTGGTGTGCTATCTTTTGTTACTTGTTACTTCTGCTTAAAAAGTATTGAGTACTTTTCAGAACAGGATGTAATAAAGTTAAATTAAATTTGTTTCAATTGATGAAATCATAAATATTTCAGTAATCTAGATGCACCAAGATATGCATTCTTAGAATGACCTGAAGAGTCCTTCTTTTAAAGTTTTGCTTTCTACCTTTCTTTTTCTTTTTTTTTTTTTTTTTTTTTTTTTACAAAATTGTAATGCTAGAAGGTGTTTCTAATAGCTTAGAGAAAGAGTCAATATGTTACAACCATGAACTGCATCGTGAAATTGAGCTATCTTATTCCTTAGCTTATCAATTTAAAAAATAGAAACCAAACAGGAAAAATTAAACTGTAATACATTTGACAAAGATGAATGAATTTAAAGATATGTTGGAGGCCAAACTCCAGTGAGCTGCTGCCTTCACCAATAAACACTCTGCTTGGTCATTCTATGCAGCCTGTGATGGCAATTTTTCTTTATTTAAAAATATTTTATTTATTTAGAAAAATTTTTCTTTATTTAAAATTTACAGGGAAAGCTGTACCTTGCAGACTGTCAGTTAGTGGAAGCAGCTGTGTTCATTTACTGCTAAAGATGCCTCACACTCAGACTCTGCAGAACAGAGCTCTTTCCCCAGGCAGGGAATGCTTGTGTGGAGGTCAGGTGAAAAGGCTTCTAGGCAGATAGAGAAATACACATAGAAGTGGATCACAGCCCTTCACCAGAAAATTAATGAATAAAATTAAGGAAAACTGTAACACTGTGAATTAGAGATACTAAATTAATAAGCTTTTAATGATCCAATCTTGATAGAGTTAAATTCCAAAAATGTGAAATGGAGAAATAATTAGAAGTTTTAAAACAAACTGAACTGTGTAATGACCACTGCTTCCTGATAAATAGCAATGACTGATGACTGTAAACATGACACAGTAAAATAATAACCTTTAGCATGTGAAAGCTATAAGGAAATCTCTGACAGTTGTAATCACCAATTCTGATGAAGAAATATCCTTTCCATAATAAATAGCTCTTGGTTGGAACCATTTATTTAATGCTAGTAGAAATATAAAAAGTGAATTTGTCTTCAGGAATTGATTCTGCATGGTGAGTGTTGTAGCAGTTTGGTTCAAAATGAGCGTCTCCACACTTGGTGTAGAACAGAGAAGAGCACTGCTTGGCATTTTGAACATAAGTAATAAATCCACATAAACAATTTATTAGTTCCAATAAAATCAAAGGGTATAGAATTATTCAAAATTAAGTCCTCTCTCTTGTAAGCATAATTCGTACTTCTGCATAATTTCAAATGTTGTCCTGTTTTCCTTAGACAAAGAAAACAACAACCAATCATCATTTGCACTTTTTGGATTATAAATCTTCTCCCCAAATTGTTGTCGCTTTTTGATTTCCATTTCAATCCATGATCATTAAGGGATTAAAAATTATGAAGGCTTAAAATTTCTTTAAACCGCTTTCAAATTCTCAGTCACTGGGACATTAAACTATTTTTTTTAAATGCAGATTTAAAGAGGAAAAACACTGAAAAATGGGAACAAGACCCACAGCAAACCTGCTGCATATACTGAGGAGACATTACAATTTAGATGCATTTTCTCACTAATTCACAACTTGTCTTTAAACCAAAGGACTGGAAATCTTAATAAAAAGAAATCAAGCTGAAAATGGTAGATACCTTGAGACAGCGAGGTAGCTAAACATGCTCCTAAGTCTAAAGCACATAAAACTTAAACTCAGTGCACTGGAAATTCCTAAGTATTTTGTTTACTATGGTTCATGGGATGGGTGGTAAATATCAATTGCCTTTAACACTTTTTGTGATCAAGAATCACTGTCAGCTGACACAGATACCAGTTTTTTCTCCTTTTACTGGTAGAATCACACCAACTTGTTGTAGCTGAGCTTGTAACTAAAACCATCAGGGTGCAGATCTTTACTTCAAAATACCTGCATCATCTCTGTCCATGAGAAGTATTCTGCAACCCCAACTTGTCTCACACCACTGGTAAATTTGCTAAACAAACTCCTTTTTTCCCCCCTCTCATCTCTAATTTCAGAACAACAAAGCTGAGGCAAAGAAAGATACAAATCTGCTAACTTTTGCAAGCTATTTTTGGAAGGTTGGAGAAGGAAACTGAAAACAGTGTGATGCTGATTTTAGCTTATGTGCAATATTTGTTTGATGTCATATTCAGGAGCCTGAGGAGACATGCTAGATACTCTCAGGTAAACACAGGATTTGATGGGAAGTTAGTTAAGTTTTTGGCTAAGTGGGGAAAAGAGAGGGAAGGAATTCTTTGTGAGAAGTAGTCTTAAGTAAGTAAAATCTTATGAAACAAATGCCAGATTTTTTACCACTACTTTACATATTATTCTGTGGAACTCTAGAGGTGACAGACAATCAAGTCAAAAAGTGAAAGTCCATCTCACATGGGAGAGAGCAGAGGGCACTTGCTGCATATCTGGGCAAACATCTTTGAACCTCACAGATCCATCAACCACATCAGTGGCAGTCAGGACCTTTGCAGGATTTTTGTTTCACTGTTTCTTCCAGGTCTTAACATCTTTTAGAGGACCATGATGACTGAGTGAGTCCAAATACCAGCCTGTGCCAAGCAGCCTGGTGGCTGGCTGCAGGGCCAGTCCTCATGGCCTTTGAGCATTGCCATGGGGTGGGAGGCAGAGTAAGTAAGGTCACTCACTATTGTGAGACTGAAAGGCACAACTGTGCAAAGGTAACCCTTCATCTGATTTTTTCATTTTAATTTTTTCAGTTTTCATGCCCTTCAGAGAAGGAGAGAAGGAAAAACAGAGGGAATCTTGTTGATGCGTATAATATCTGCAGGCAGGGATCAGAGCATGGACTGGGCTGTGCTCCATGGTGCCCAGCAACAGAACAAAGGCAAAAACTGATGCCCAGGAAGTTCATCCTGAACATGAGGAAGAACTTCTTTTCCAGAAGGGTAACAGAACACTGAACAGATTGCCCAGAAAGGCTGTGGAATCTCCTTCTCTGGAGAGATTCAAAAGCCATCTGAACACAATGCTCAGCAATGTGCTCTGGCAGAGAAGCCAACAGAAAAGATTTCACTCAAAAACTGAACTGTAAATCAACATATGCCACCTTACCTTCCAAATGTTCTGTTGTAACCAGTCCTAGTGCTACCATGAAGGCAATTTTCTAAGGAAAAAACAAATGGGTTAGATTTTCTACTATAATGATCATGGTAAGAAAATAAATACAATTAGCATTGACAGAATAAACCCAGTAAAAGTCTTTTAGAAATGTATCTTATTTGAATGCATAGTAATGTAAAGAACTTTAACTGAAGATTTACTTGAGATATGCCTGGTTCTCCTTGTATGATTACATAAATTCAAACAGTTCAAAGATGCCTGAAGTCAATGCTAAATGACTACTGATCTTACACAGCACATGACCAATATTCAGTCAATTCAATCAGTTCAATTTCACATTGCTAGCTGAATTGTTTCTCAATTCTTTAGTGAAGTAATTTTGTTTTATTTTTTACAATCTGGATATGACACTCTGCTTTTATTGGAAATGAGCAAGCTGTATGAACTGCAACAAGTATGAACTGTACAACACTAAACAAGACATCAGAAGCATATTGAAAGTCCCCTCCCATTAAAAAAAAAAAACCAACAACTAACCAAACCAAAAATTTTCAATCCCGGGAAATTTCTCTTCCCAAGTTTTAAAAATAACATAGTGTGCATGGATTGTGAAGACATATACTGATCCAACATTTTTCCTCAATGGGGAGTGAACAGACGTCTCCCACTGACACTGGTGAACTCATTTTGCAGCATAGAATCTGATCTAAAATATTATTCACAACCCTTCTAAACTATATATGCACAAAACATATCTTCATACCAAAAAAATCTTCAGGACATGCTGATGCAGTGATAGGACAAGTATTGGAGCAGATTCTAAATGCTCTGCCAGTGATTTGTCACTGGAAGATGTTTCCTTGCAGAAAGATTTTGCTGAAGTTTTTATCGCATGTTTTTGATGAAAACTGAAATTACGCTGTGTTTTTACAAGCCCAAACTGAACTGAACTCCTTGGTTTTCAGTCACATTTGTGGGGCTTTGGGGGCCTCCTCTTTCTGCTGTGCTGAACGATCTTGTTGGATTTCATGAGGTTCAGTTCCACAGGAGAGACAATCTGACTATGCAACTCAAGCTCTTGGGAAATCCAAGCAAGCAAAGCCCACAATCCAAGTCTGAGGAAGTGTACAAAGACCACAGGAAGATGCAATTATCATACCTCAAATAAAATGTTTAGATTTAGGTCCAACTAAAACACAGTGTTTAAGCAGTAGAAGGTCAAAACATTGTTTCATTCAAAGAGTGTTAGGAGAACATGTTTCAACACTTCCAAGTCAAAATTAGTCTGACCTTCATGTTTTGTGAAAAGCCTGATGATTTAACATTTCAATTCAGTTCAGGATAAAATCAACTAGTAAATCACCAGATCTACAATTTTCTTTTCAATTCTGACTTTCACTCAGTGAAATCGTGAAAGCAGAAACATCCTCATTTTGTAGATGAAAAGATCAATCTATTGGGTGGTTCATCAAAATCAGAGGGTTAGGACTGGACATCTCTACCACTCCTGCATCTGTGAAAATACCTTTGTCAAACACCTGAACTAACACCCATGTAAGTAGAAATAATTCCTTTCCACAGCCTCAAGAGATCCCTACTCTCCAGGTAGATTAAAAAATGGTGGTGTAGTGGCACTGGCAATTTAGATATATTCACACTGTATTTCTGCCATCTATATCTGTGGTAATTACACGCACGTGTTCATTTGCAAATCAGACCTTGATTTCAGTAATATTCACTCCTTACATGCCTGAAACACCAGCCAGGCACAGTGGGGGCCCCACACCTGAAGGAAAAGACGAATATTTGATCCACTGTGCAGATCTGAGAAGAAAATTATTCAGCTGAGTAGGATTACAAGCTTCACCTCAGCCCCCTCAAAAAGTGACAGTGGCAGGATACTTCTCAGCACTGTGAGCAAAAGTAGTAACAATTTTAGGGATAGAACCAGGAAGATGGAATGGTTAATGTGTGTTTTCTCAGTGGTGTGCAGAATTCTTGCATCACCCCAACATTAAGCTGTAGATAAAGCACACATTTTCTGATGCTTCAACTGAAATTTGTGTACTAGAATGTTTGCTAAACAATTTCCTCTCTTCATGCTGAAGTTGTTTGAATATGTATCTAACTAAAAGCAACATACTTGCTTAAAATATGAAAAGCTATAACAAGTAGACATGATAATTATCTTATGATTAAACACAGGAAGTTTTAGCTTTTATAGGGACTTGAAAGAGGGTTCCTTTTAAAAAACCCAGTACAAGCAGTATTCTTTTGAACAAGCATATTATTTTAACAGCCTACTTGTTTTTATGGGTTTTGCTATTTCACACCTCTGCAGCTGATTGGATTAAATTCAAAATCTGACTTCCACTGCAAAACTTCCATTTCAAATATCACAATATTGTTTGTCCTCTGTACGGGAAGTTGCAAAGCCAAGACTTCATTTTCTCCAGATTTTCAATCCAGGCTTAATACTAGCATTTAGTTCACAATTGCCATTTGTCTCTCTTGTGCTTAGGAAGAATTAGAACACCAGTAACTAAATAACCAGCATTTGTGGCAGTAATTTTTCTTTTCAATAAAAACATTTTAGAACGACAATATTGCCAGATAGTTTGCTAACATGAATTTTTAAATTATCAAAAGGGTTTTGGCAGAATTCTGTTTCTCTCTGTGTTGAACTCAGGTCTCTTCAAGAAAAAAAGAAAATATTAACCCTTCACTCACCCCAAACACCCCCCCCCCCAAAGAAATGAGGGAAAAAAACCCACAAAAAAACAACATCCAGGGTATTTTCTCCTGAGAGAAGCAGCTCCCTTTTGTAATTAGTCCATTTCTTTTCAGAAGTCATCCTGGTGGGAGAAGGCCCATCACTGGATCCATCATCATTGTTCTCCATCCCCAGCTGTGCCCTGCTGATGGGAACGAGGGGTGGCCTCCTCCTCCTCCTCAGTCCATGATCAGCTTCAGGGCTTTCCAGCAGGATGACCAAGCCAGGAGCTAAAGACAGTAATTATCCTTGCTCTTCTCTGTTTGTTCAGGTATACTCAGTAACTGCTTTGGGATTCCTGGTTACTGCCAAGTCTGGTTATTTCTAGTTAGCTCATTTCAAATTGTCAGTGGAATTTGTTAAATCCCAACTAAGTTCTGTACAGAGCTATATTGGAGTTCCTGCCTCAGTTTTCTGCTTTGAAGATAAATAAAAGTGAGAAGTGCCTTGAGTGCCTATTTTCTTTTTAAAAATACCATGCTGTTTTTGCTTTAAATTTAATCATCTGCTTATAAGCCGTGAGTGCTTTTAGAAATACACAGTATGTCTTTTCATGAAGCAAAACAAAGATTTTCATAAAAGCATTTCATTTTGTAATTACGTGTTCTATTTATGTCATTACATGTATTTATACTAATTATGATGTTAGTTCTAATTACACTAATTGCATAAATACATGATAATCAACCAAAGTTTACTTTCAAAGAACAAAAGAAATTAACTCCAGACCTACCTATTTATGGCTGTGCAACAAACCTATGAGAAGAACTGTCACAGTTTAGGGCACAGTGTCAGCACCCTACCCAGAAAATTAAGGTTTTTGAGACCTCCAGTAAACAGGGTAGGAACAGTGTCTGTGGTTAGAAAAAAGGTCATTGAGATATTCTAGTTAGCTATGTAATGAAAATCTTACATTTTTGAATCCCATACCAAAAGTGTGCCCAGTCCAATTGCCTCCTCCTGCATCTCTCTGGAAGGCTTTTATTCATCATTTTTCCACGGGGGAAAGTTACAGGCAAAGAAAAATCAATGTTTTATCCTAGCATTCTGTTCCTAAGCACAGCCTACTGGTCTTTCTGCCCAAAAGGTGCTACAAAATAAAGAAGTTTTTGGAAACACCTGCCTAAACAAAACAGGATTCTACAGTCCCATCATTCCATGGTAATGAAGATTCATATAAGGGTGAGTTTTTAAACTTGGGAGGTTTCCCAAGCATAGTTTTGCAGAGCTTCTGCATAGAGCTGTGATATTTTGGGCTAAAATATTTATCCTTAATAATTTTTTAACTATATGAACCTACTAAAATAGTGAAAAAATTGACCACACGCACGCCTCAAGTAACATATTTTATATTGTAATAATCCTCTTAAACCTATAGCTCCAAGGATGCTTTTGTGCTACACATATATTAGACTAGTGAAGTTAAAGATTTTACAGGAGCTGAGCATTTCTACAAAAGAAATAGATTCAGCCTGCATAACTTCTCAAACTGCCCTAAAATTACACCTAATATAATGCGAACATATCCAGTCAAAACCCAAAATACCTGTTAGAGAGACCCTATTTCTACAAAGAGCTGCATTTATATTTCTAGTTTAATCAAAATTATAGTTCCTAAAAGAGATTTAGTCTCACTACCTGCTTTCTACTCTTACCCAATTTAAAGGATTTAATGTACTTCAGACTAGAATCTGTGTACATATGGGAACACATGTACACAGCAAGTGCAGGAAACTATTAATACAATCTAAAAATTGCAAGATTCATTACAAAGAAGATGATAGAAGCTCAGCTTACAAAAGAAATGTTAATTCCACCTCACATACAGCCTCTAAATCTGATGCTATATGTTTGACAACATAAAAGAAAATATCTTAAGCTTGTATACACCTTTCACAAGAAATCCAGCTACAGCCATGGGGTGCCTAGATTATTATGAGACCTTTAGGTATTATGAGACCTCCAAGTCTTACATTTTGTGACAGTGGAAGGTATGAATGGTGCAAACCAAATTTGTCAGGGCATTCACTGGCAGGGGAATTACCCTGATTGCAGAGACTGAGAGGAGAGATGAACAGCTGGCAGAACCACAAACACAAATAAAGTAATTGCATATGCACAGAGAAGAATGTTTAGATTTGGCCCCCATAACTTAACCATATTGTAGCTCATCTATCAAAAATTAAAAAAAAAAAAAATCACCTCTGGATTTTCCTCCTTTTTCTTTTTGGTAGCAGGCAGTCCCTGAGCTGACTCTTCAGGAGATTTCTTTGTCTCGAGTTTACTTTCTGTCTGGGTTTGGACTTGAGGTTGAATAATGATAACCTGAAAGACAATGTACAAATAAGAGAATTCATTATATGAAACTGGATTTTTCTGCCTGAAACCTTTGAGTCCTCTTTGAAGGGTTACTTGATACCCTAAAAATAAGAAATGTAAGTCACAAGTCAAAAGCATAAAACAACAGGATTCTTAGGTTAAGTATGGCTCTGAAAATTAGGAGACTTTCTATTTAGAGGACTTGTGAAGGTGGCTGAGAAGCCATGCTTTAGCACTTGTGTTAGTGATTTTAAGGTCTCTCCTTTGATTTTATTTTATGTATAGTAGTAGAGATGGGATTACTAAGCTTTCAAACACAGTCTGATCTCAATTGTACCAGTGTTTTTTCAGAATAAGGACATGGGGATGGGAAAGAAGGTACTCCTCACTTCAGTCCTCAGCCTTTACATGATATAAGCAGTGGATGTCCAGTTTTCTGTAAACTAAATAAACAATATTTTTTTAAATTAAATTTAGGTCTTGTTTAGAACCTATAGGAATTGTGACAAACATCTCATTCGCACATTTATGGTAGTATATCCAGCTGCTTATATTTGAATTACCACATGAAGATTTACATGATGCAGGTCACATTATCTATTAAATTAAAAGGAATTCATTTCAGCCCACAAAACTACACATTTGACTTCATACCTATAACCAAAAGGACTGTGAAAGCTTCAAAAGGACTTCCCAAGGACCATCATCTTCTAGATAAAGATTATTAGATTTGAACACTAGGCCTTTTCCTTTTACTTCCTTGCTAATTTTCAATCAATGTTGTTTAAGTGCTAGATACATTATCTTAACTCAGTCACTCTAGAAGATTCAAGAACACAAAAGGAGATGGTTTTCTGAGCCAGGAGCCATTTTAAGTAAGAGAAAAATAATTTATGTCAAAGAATTGGGGAAGAGATGTCTGCTTTTATTTACCTCAAAAGCCATCCTACATCCTATATATTTTTTTAGTGCTGCATGAGAACTCATGCTGCCAACAAGCCCAAAAGTAGCAGGATCCCAGTAGTAAATTACAGTGAATGTGTGCTTGGTACATTAGCAGCCTGTATGGAATCTGTCTCTGGTATAAGTGTGGTAAAGTTCTTGCATTCCAATGCTGAAAAGCAGTACAAAGATGAAAGAAGTAATTCATAGCTTGATTTTTTCCTTTTTACTGATTCATCTCCTGGTCAGTTCTGAAACCCTGAGCTCTCATTTCATTTGGTCTTCCCCTGAAAGAGCAGAAGGGAATCTCTCATAATTTTATGTACTCCCTGGGGTCAGTGAACAAATCGAGTATCACTGTGTCATTGATGAGGGAGTCCATAGGAAATGTGAGCCTGTACAGAATTCAGGATTTTATTAGTGAGGATTGGCTTAAGGAAAGACAAGTTCATATTAACAGAAGGTCCTGTTAATATCAGTCTACATAATGATGTGTTTTGTTCCCAGTAAAAAACAGGCTAGTACACAGATAAAAGTCTGCTAGCTTCTATGTGTCTGTGTAAGAATTCCCCCATTGCTTTCTGATTATTTTCTTTGAGAAGAACCACTGACAACACTGCACAGGCTGTGCACTCCCAGGGCAACGTTCTGCTGATACCTGCAGCACAGCTGCTGCGTTTGCTGCCCAGGGAACTCACCTTGCTGTCGGCACTGATGAGAAGCGGCTGCACTTTGATGCTGTCGTTGACCACCGAGACAGCGGCGCTGCTGCTGATGGGAGCTGCATTGCTGGGCGAGGTGGAGATGATGGCATAGGCCACGCCAGCACCACTCAGAGGGGACGAGAGGGCTGCAGGCTCGGTGACGCTTTGTGACTGGCTGCTGTGTGTCTGTCCATGGCTGACGGTGTTGTTGGCAGTGGGGAGGGCAGGGCTGGGGTTTTTGATGCTCACTATGGTTGCCTTCTGGAAGGTGGGAGGCTGCTTGGAAGGTTGGTCTCTGCACGGGGAGATTGGGAGGCTGTCTGGAATCAGGGTCTTTGGCCTAACCTACAAACAGAGAGTCCGGTGTTATTGGGTATGTGAACAAACTCTGCACACACGTGTTCTCCCAGTGGAATCTCTAATTGCATTCACCATGGACCAGGAGCATCTAGAAAAACAGAATGGAGCAACTGCAAGTAGCCAACCATTCATTTACTTGTAGATATATTCCCAGCTTTTCTCAGCTGGGTCATTTTGACGTTCTTAACTCAATGCAATGCTGAACAATAAGTGAGAAGAATGTCAAATTCTTATTTTGATTAGCACACATCCATACAAATGCTAGTCAAGTCACATCCAGCTCTCAGTAGGGATGTGTAAGCCAAAGCCTTGGCAAGAATGGAAAACCTAGATGCAAAAATTTCCCGCTCTGAAGGACACAACATTTTTTCTATGAATTAAGGAGAGGGAGCTGAATCTTTAAGGGAGTTGTGGGAAAGCATTTACAGGGACAGTAGAGTATATGCTTTTTTACTGGTGGATTGGTCAATGAACAACCTCATATGTTTAAGACATGCCATGTCAAATGGAGAGAAGATCAGTCACACAATCACTTAACTCACAAAAAATAAATAAAATAAAGAGAGCAATACAAGAAACCCACAAGCACCAAACATCATGTTTTGTTGCAGTAATTAAAGAGCTAACTTGCAGCTGTGTGTGGATGCAGGAGGAACTTCCATGAGTGGAAGAGGACACTTTGCCCTGCTTTGCAACAGCTGGGGCTGTACCCAGAGCCATGAATGATAGCAGCAATCAATTGTTTTCAGCTAATGTGATGTGTTTCCAGTGGTGTAGTTAACGTTACCCAGTCAACATGGCTCTGCCTTAACAACATGTTAAGTACAGTTCCAGGATTGAAAATAAATAATTTAAAATGCTTCACATGGAGTTAACTTCACTCCCAGCTTATTCGTTAACACAGCCTGATAAAACAGTCAGTTCCCTCTGTGCTTATTTAGTCCTGTCACTTCTTGCACCTCCCATACTGTGAAACAAAATGACAAGTTCTAACAGACAAACACGGGAAACAGCTGCCGGTGTCACCACGCTGGAGTCTACCGGAGCCCTTCAAATGGGACCGACTTCAATCTTCAGCCTAAGTAAGCAATTTTAAAAAAATGCAGGGATTTACTGGTGTGCAGAAAACTATCTCTCAAGGCTGGCCATCATTCCCTATTGTGTCAAGAAGGAACCATACCCTTTTGTCCCCACAGCAAATATTAAGGACAGCAACACATACATTGCCAGCTCTCTGTGTCTCAGTAATTTCTCCCTTAAATATCAATAGGACACCTGTGAACACCCACAAGCCTACTGGGGAAAGGCATCACAACAATAATACCCTGGTGAGATGCATCTTAGGCTCCAGGCATTTTTCACAGCTCAGGGTGAGGGAAGAAGCTTCCCCCCATGGTGCTCTGCAGCACTATGTTAACTTGTCCCAGTTCTGTCCCCCCCATTGGCCCCTTGGCCTTTCCTACCCCTTTTATCCTTATATGTTCATGTTCTGGTAACTTCTCCCTTCCCTGCTTTCCCATGGGTTTGTGTAACCCCACCTATCCACCCTGGCATTCTCTATCCCTGTGCACTACCCCTGAGCCCTCACTCAGTTCATTAGATCCCTGATGCTCTTCTCTGTCCCCTTTTTCCCAGTATTTACACCCTGGACCTTCCTTTGCCTTTGTCTTTGGCCCCTGGACCTCTCCAGTGTTGCCTGAAGTAAAGCATGTTGGAACTCCATGCCTGGACATTCCCATGTCTTCCCTGCCGAGCTGCTCTGTGTGCGTGTCTGTGTCTGTCTGTCTGTCTGTCTGTGTGCTGGTGCTCTGGTGGCTCCTACCCATTGGATGCTCTTGGGGAAGGTTGTCCAGCACCACCGCGGACTGCAACAGACCCCTACATCCACGAGCAGTGCAAAACCAGAGTCAGAGGCACAGTCCTGCTCAGGACATTCACATTTCCAGCAGTCATGGTAGATGGAAATGTAAAGAGGAGTTTGCCCAAGGTCCTGCAGACTTGTGCAGAGCCAGGGAGCCACTGTGCTCAGCTTACAGCTTTGGGATGGCACTGGAAAGCTGCCGAGACCTGCTGTGAAATAATGCAAAACTACACAGAACTCCAAGGAGCCATAGTCAACATACCCTGACAGTAACTGAAGGGTTCTTTGCTCATTTTCTTTATGCAATCACTTTGTGTAATGATTATCTGACTGGCTTAGTTAAGATACCAGACCTTGGTCAAGTAGTTTTAGGGAGAACTCTGTAATTAACTTCATATCCATGATTAGTTAATGGTTTTATTTTCAACAGTAGTGCACAAAGCATTGGTTTAAACCCATCAATTCAGGAGTTTCTCTAGCCAAAAACTGTCATGTAGTCTACCAAGATCTACTGTATCAGTCACTCTTAATTGCACTTTTATATTTAATCAAAATTCTAATTAGAACTAAATGCCTACATATATTCCAGCTATATAATTATCTTTTCTACTGCATGATGTAATACCTAAGTGAATCCTACATGCATGCACATCCTGCAAGTTATGGATCAACACATCTTACTTTGCTGTAAAATAAGCTCTTCCTGCACAGTTAATTAAACAAACTTAATTTTCCAAAATACTAAATTCTTTATAAAGTGCTGCATACTGAAATTGTCTGATAGGATGCACCAAACTGGTACATTACAGAGCATGTGCTGGGCACTTTCTGCCACCATGTGATACAGAAGAGGGATTAAGCCTCTGAAAACTCCCTGACAGGTTTACCTAACCTTGGGAGACCTTATTTGTTTGCAATTACAGAACAATAAAAAGGGTTGACTATAGAAACAAAAGTTTCAGGTACTCCTGAGTTAAAGTTAGAATAACTGAAAGTGAAAATAACATTTATTTCAAGGACCTGCAAGTGGAAATCCAAAACAGAAAGCAAACATAGAAGCCCCTTGTGCTCCAACACCTATGAATGTTCCCTCAGAATATAAACACTAAGTGCAAACATTTAATAAACAGCTACATGAAATACCTTTGGCAGGTGTCACCTAAAATCCCAAACTGCTACAGTTATTTGTGGAGATAAATGGTATCAGCTAGAAAGAGAAAAAATAAGAAGGAAAAAGGTAGCATAAATTCCTTTCCCTCATGGCAAAACTGTAGCTTAAATCGGGGAGATGAAAGGAGAACAGTGGCACTAGCAAAAGTTTGGAAGCTGGCAATCACTGAAGAAGAGGTAGAATAAAATTAGGGCAGGACAGGGACTGCACTGCACACACACAATACCAAAAAGTAATTTTCTACTGAAAGTAGCACAGGTTGGATGACACCAGTCCATATCACAGGAGTTAGAGAAATAAAAGGCACCAAAGTTGAGCAAAAGAGAAGAGAAAGAAAAAGAGATAGCATGTATGTTACCAAAAGAACACTTCAACTCTTGGCAAGTGTTGCAATTAACAATTCTCCTGTAGCTCAACCCTTCTTTCCCCAAGTATCTTTCATTTAACTTCTGACAGCTGTCAAAACAGAATGTGATACTACCAGGGCTCAAAACGCAGAAGAGACAGCTGCTTCTTGAATATAATGATTTCCTAAACCCGTGTGGTTCTTGAGTTTCCTCAATACCCACAATAACAGAAACATTTCATTTCCTGTGGCGATGTTCAGACTGGTCCTTCTCAGATAGCTGCAGGTGAGCACATTTTTCAAGGAGATATTCTCAAATCTGAGCATTCACTAGGTGGCGGCTCTCTGCTTTTCAGACACGGAAATGAGAGAGTGACCAATCCTGTGAGATGTACAGAATGCTCTTTTGTTCAACAACTTCTAATTAATTATATTTTAAAAAGTTTCAGATCAGGAAAGAATTAGCTCCTGTGACTAACATGACTTCTTGTATATCCCATATTATTAAGCTCCATCCAGATGTCCCTGTATGAAGCTCAAAAGCTTCTATTTCACCAAAATGTCATTCAAGCTCTCAAGAGCACAAATTCCTGAATACTGCAGAGGTGAATGAATTGCTGAGTGGTGGAGGTGGGAGAGCCTGATGTGTGTCACCACTGACACAGGAAAACGTGATACGGGCAATCTATTCCCTGGGGAATTTCTTCCCATTGAGCTGCTGATGGGAGCTGGGGACTAAGGGGGAACTCTGTTTTTTTGGGAGTTTTCCCTTGGGTGGGCTGGGTGGAGATGCCAGGGGGACTTGGGCTGGGAGAAGGGGCTGGGTGCAGTTGCTGGTCCTCTCTCAGGTGTTTTTGGAGGAGGACAATTGGAGCCGCTGCTCCTGGGGAAAGGAATTTCACTGCTGCTGCCAGAGCTGCTGCTTCTGCCGTGGGGTGAGCCTCTGCTGGGGAGAACAGCCACTGAACCAGGACCTTATTAACACTGGGTTTGGGTTCTGTTTGTTGTTAATGCCGTAGTTGATGTTGTTTGTTTTATTATACACACTAGTAAAGAATTGTTATTCCTATTCCCATATCGTTGCCTGAGAGCCCCTTGATTTCACAATTCTAATAATCCAGAAGTAGCGGGTTTACATTCTCCATTCCAAGGGAGGTTTTTCTGCCTTCCCTAGCAGACACCTGTCTTGTAAACCAAGACAATCCCAACAGGTGAGCCACTCACCTGCTGTAGTAAAGAAAAATAAGGTAAGAAAGAAAACCTCTTACAAAAGAAGTCCTCACGATCCAACCTATACAGGTATGGGGAAAAGGAGAAGAGAGGAAAATCACACAGTTCCTCCAGTCTCTGTGGGCAATCCTATGTAGTCCTAAAGGACAGGATTTAATTAGAACAGTTACATCTGTGAAGATCTGCAGGTGATATGAGAATCGTTAAGGGCGTTTCTGGTAAATGTGTTCTCCCTCAGGCCTAGGAAAGAAGGGAAGTTAACAAAATGTACTTCAATTACAAACCCAAAAGGGATCACTGTGATCCTCCAGTTCACAGGCTGGCCATATAATTTCTCCCAGAAACTGAAGACTGATTTTAAAAGAAAATACTAAAGA